GGCCTGTGGCCATGTCTGAAGGGCATCTTCTTGATGAGTGATGTGGGAGGGCCCAGCCCACTGTGGGTGGTGCCACCCCTGGGCAGGTGGGCCTGTGTTGCATAAGAAAGCAGGCTGAGCAGGGGCCAGGAGAGCAAGCCTATAAGCAGCGTTCCTCCATGGCCTGTGCTCCAGCTCCTGCCTCCAGGTTCCTGCCCTGAGTTTCTACCTTGGGCTCCCTGATGAACTGTGTGCGACCTGGGAGATGTAAGACAAATAAACCCTTTCCTCCTCAAGTTGGTAGTGGTCAGAGTGTTTTGTCACAGCAATGAAGAACAGACTACGACACCCATCAATCAGCCTTCGGCAGCCTCTGCTACTTTATACAACGGCACCAGTTCCACCATTCCCTCCTTACATCATACTACTAAGAATGCTTCTAGGTTAATCATTCACAATTTTTATGCTTTGCATATGAACAGAAATTTCTTTTACTAAGATCTACATTACAGTATGTTGTTCATAAAGGCAAAATCTAAATTTAAAAAATGACTAATAACTAAATACTGAAGCATATTACCTTCTAAAATATTTGTGTCTATCAGTCTGTGGAATTTTATGTACATGTGTGAGGAGGTCAAAAAAGGGTATAGGATCCTTGAGAGCTGGAGTTACAAGCACATGCAAGATGCCTGGCTCGTTACATGGATGCTGGGATTCCAATGCTGGTCCTCATGGCTGCATAAGAGCTCCTAACTGTTGAGCCATCTCTCCAGCCTAGCATACCATTTTTAATTTGTAAATTAAAAAAAAAAAAAGTTTTATGTGTGTGTGTGTGTGCCACATACATGCAGGTACCTGAGAAGGCCACAAGAAAGCTTCAGAGCCCCTAGTGCTGGAGTTATAGGTAGTTGTGAGCTGTCTCCCAAACTCAAATCCCCTGAAAGAATAGCAAGTGCTGAGCCATCTCTACAGCTCTAACTGTAATTAGTTTATAAGCTGGTAAGTCAGTCATGGCAAATACTGGGATTAGATTTTTTTTCAAGTACATTTAGCCTTTTCAGCTATGGATAGATTAAAAGTAAGAATAAATACTTCATCTCAATGAGATCGTATCCAATAGCATTTTCTAGTACAATGTGGAGTACCTGAAGAATTAAATACTCCTGAAGAATTCTGTCAAAAATTTACAAATACTGTAACTTATGAAAAAATGGGCCTGAGCTGAAAACACTAGTGCTTATCTTAACAATATAAAATTTTTAGGATGAGGGCCGGGTGTGGTAGCACACTAATCCCAGCACTTGGGAGAGAGAGGCAGGCGGATCTCTGTGAGTTCGAGGCTAACTTGGTCTATATAGCAAGTTCCAGGCCAGCTGGGGCTACAGGGAGACCCTGTCTCAAAAGTACCAAAAACAGAAAAAAAAATTTTTTTCAGGAAGAATATTAACAGTAACAAATGAATGTAATATAGGCAACATAACAAAAGATTTTAATTTTTGTGTTCCAGTTAACCTAAGACTTAGTTCTAGGAACTGGGGTAATACAAGCATGTTTAAATATGAATGGACAAACCTGAACATCATCTTCTAACTTAAATTCTGATAAAGAATTTGTAATGATGTCTGTACCTCAGTTTAAGGCTTTCAGAGAGTCTTTCAGCTTCTTCAATAGCTTTTTTGATGTTTGCAGGTCCAAGTATTGAATGAAAGTAGTCCTAAAATTACATAAAAATCATCCCATTCTGTTAGTACTAGGAATTGCACACACCACTAATGTTATGAAAAACATTAAAATCATGGTGCTTATATAAAAATTTAGATGAAAAAAATATTTTTCTAAACTTCAAATCTATATAAATGCAAATGTATCCCCCAAATGTTTCAAAAGTATCTCTTTACATCATTAGTATACAAAAAAAATCAACTATGTAGAAAACTTTACTTATTTGTAAGCTACCATTAAGTGTAAATACTATAATTATTATTTATGAATACATGCCAAAAAGGAAAGCTTTGGAGAAAAAAGATTTTCTTATTGCAAATATGTAATGTACTAAGTTCTTTTTCTCCCGTTTCAGAAGGAATAAAGCAAATTATGTAAAGATATACAGCACAGGATTTACTTGATTTGTTTACATGTTTATTTAGACACAGGGGCTCAGGCTGGCTTAGAACTTATGATCCTCATGCCTCAGCCTCCTGAATGATTGGATTGTAGGTGTGTACTACTATATTTGGCTTTTTAAAAATTACTTGTATTATACAGAAATTTTTGCTTTTATCTGTACTTTATAGTAACTTACTTCACATGTTAACTGGAGTTAAGGCACTTCTGACACCTAAAACAAGTTTTACACTTAAAGAAACCTTGAATTTCTAAAAATTCAGTAATAGAAAATAATAACATGATTTAATTTTTTTACTTGTACTTTTTGATTTATTTTTATTTTATGTGTATGAATGTTTTGTGTGCTTGTATGTAAAGCACACCTGTGCATGCAATGCTCATGGAAGCCAGAAGAGGGTGTCAGATTCCCTGGAACTGGAGTTATGGGTAGTTGTTTAGCCACAATGTAGGTGCTAGGAACCAAATCTGGGTCCTCTGCAGAGCTGCTGGTACTCTTGCCCACTGAGCATCTATCTATCCAGCTTCATGAGCTAATTCTTAGAAAAGAGAAAAGGTTTGGACACATAAGCCTACTAACAAGCAAAGTGAAGTTTTGTTTAAAAAAAATTACTTCAGGGACTGGAGAGATGGCTCAGTGGTTAAGAGCACTGAGTGCTCTTGCAGAGGACCCAGGTTCGATTCCCAGCACCCACATGGTGGCTACAAACCGTCCTTAACTCCAGTTCCAGAGGAATCCGAAGCCCTCTTCTGACACAACACAGGTGCACTCATATACATGCAGGCAATGCACTCATACACGTAAAATAAAAATAATAAAATATTTTTTAAAAAATTACTTCAAGACTACTCAATATGATCAGTGAAGTTTTCAAATCAAGATTGGTTAGGTATGACTTTGATAACTGATTATTAGAGCTAATTCACTACATGTTAATAGGACACTGCAAACGATGCTTATAGCACAATTTATCATAAAAAACAGTAATTAGAATTGGTATGTGAGAACCATGAAGTCAAGAAAATATGTTGTAACAGTTATATATCTATCTAAACTAAAAGCAAAATGCATTTTATTTTCTAATGACCATGTTAGAAAGTAATATCACTGATATTACCCTTGACCAAGTAGTATCAATACAATGCAACTTCTACAAAATCATAACAACTGAACAGTACAGGCACCTCAGGTACCACACTGTCCTGACTACTAATGCAACCCTTCGCAAAAAGTATAACACAGTCATTACTGGAATTTTCTGATAAAAGCAAAAAATAAGGTAACAACAAAAAATGCTCTGTTTTTTGTTTTAATGTTCATGAACTCTATTTAAAAAACCAGTCTGAGCCGGGCATGGTGGTACACTTGGGAGGCAGAGATCGAGGGATCTCTGTGAGTTCAAGGTCAGCCAGGTCTACATAGTGAGTTCCAGGTTAGCTGGGGCTACAGTAAGACCCTGTCTCAAAAAAGACCAAAAAAACCACTCTGACCGGGACTCAGCAGTTAAGAGCAATGGCTGCTCTTGCAGAGGACGGAGGTTGGATTCTCAGCACCCATATGATCCATAACTCAGGTTCCAGGGAACTCAATCTGCTCTTCTGGTCTTCATAGGCACTGCATAAACATGGTGCACTTAAATACATGCAGGTAAAATGTTCACACATATTAAAAAAAAATTTTTTTAAACCATTGAAAGCCTATCTTAATCTTACTTAAATGTTATTTAAAAAGCACTGTCTGGGTGTACCTATTACTACCAGGAGATACTTCTCTGTATTTGTGAGCACAGCTATATAAATATACATATTTTCTATTTCCCAACAGAATGACAAGTGGCAGAATGTAGAGATAACACCTAATTCCTAGTCAACTAAAACTAGTCTCAGATTTATCAACTATGATTTTCCTATTCCTGAAACCCAGATTCCCGAAATGAGGACTCTTAAAGGATTAACAATAATGCCAAGAAGATTCTAGTTTTATGAGACTTTATTACGCTGTATTTTAACACCCCCCGCCCCTTTGAGATAACCCTGAAAGCATGGTTCATGAACTGGCTGTTTTTCTTTTAGAAATACTTAAAAAAAAAAATTTGTGTGTATGCGTGTATTGCCTGCATGTATGTAAGTGAACCCATGTCATGCAATGGCTGAAGAGGTCAGAAAAGTGTTGGATTCCCCTGGAACTGGAGTTACAGACAACTGTTAGCTACCATGTAGGTGCTGGGAATTGAACCTGGGTCTTCTGCAAGAGCAGTCAGTGTTCTTTACCACTGAAACACCCCTCCAGCCCCTTCTTTTATTTATTTTTATTTTATGTGTATGGGTATATTGCCTGCATATATGTGAGTGCACCTGTGTTGTGCAATGCTGTGGAGGTCAGAAGAGGGCTTCGGGTTTCCCTGGAACTGGAGTTAAGGACGGTTCGTAGCCGCCATGTGGGTGCTAGGACTCGAACCTGGGTCCTCTGCAAGAGCAGTCAGTGCTCTTAACCGCTGAGCCATCTCTCCAGCCCTGCCCCTTCTTTTTCTTTTTTTTAAATTAATTTTTATTTTATGTGTATGAGTGTAACGCCTGCCTGTATCTAGGTGCACCATGTCATGTAGTGCTGGTGGAATGGCAGAAGAGGGCAGCAGATCCCTGGAACTGGGATGGCTGTTAGCCACCATGTGGGTGCTGGGAATTGAACCCAGGTCCTTTGCAAGAACAGCCAGTGCTGTTACTGGCTGAGCCCATGAACTAGCTGTTTTCAATCACATCTACTGTGTCCTCTACTGAGAGGTTGCTAAATTAACAACTTTTACCTAAATCTTAAATACTCTAACATAAAAGAGTGAAAAACGTAATTTGTATACCAATTTAAGTAGTCATAACTAGAAAATAGCTAGTATATTGTCTCACATACTTGAAGTACACTAGAAAGGTTAGATTAAATAAAGCAGAACAAGAAAGCTGTAAGATCAAAAGTAGATTAGGTACTCTATACAGAGCGAAGAAAAATAATCCTTTTACTGAAAACCAGGCATCCAAAGTAACAGCCTGGGCCACCTGAACCTTTGTGGGAAGCTTTCTTTTCTCTTTTCTCTTCTCTCTCTCTCTCTCTCTCTCTCTCTCTCTCTCTCTCTCTCTCTCTCCCCCTCTCTCCCTCTCTCCCCCCCCCCCCCCCCCCTTTTTTTTTTTTTTTTTTTTTGTCAGACAAGATCTCCCTGTAGCCCCAGCTGGCCTATAGACCAGGTTGCTATATAGACCAGGTTGGACTCAGAGATCCACCTGCCTTTGCCTCCTGAGTGCTGGGATTAAAGGTGTGGCCACCACCACTGTGATGCAGGAAGCTTTCCAAACCTCCATTTTTACAGGACACTTTCACTCAGGTACTCCCTTAGGAATGCAGATGACACTAAAAATGGAAAGATCCCTTACCAATTAAAATTAACTCCAACCTAGTCAAGGGAGGAAAGCAGCAGCCAAAAAGGTATTTCTAACCTCGCCAGAGGGAAAAAAGTACTAACTTTTAAAAACAATGCAAAAAGTAAACAAGTACATAAAAATATTAGTCTAACAATAGACAAAACAGTAAATATCAAAGCTACCAAAGTTAACCAAATCTCAAATCTTCCAAAAATATTTATTTTAATAAGTACTGTTCGCCCCGTCTCTACTTTTATTCATGGCAGTGTGGGGGGTGAGGGGTTGCCACAGCACACTCGTGGGTCAACAGACAACTCTTTAGGTTCTCTCCTTCCACCATGTAGGTCCCAGGAATCAAATTTGGGTGGTCAAGCTTGGTAGCAATTGCCCTAATCCACTGAGTCATCTCACCTGCCAGCCCTTTTTAAAAGCAATTTCACATTAACAGATTTTAAAGACTATTTAAATTTAGGCAGGCTTCCGAGTTCTTATCCACAATAGATACGCAAATAACTGTAAATATTTAAACAAATTTACCAGGGAAGGACTAATTCAGCCATTTATGGGCAGGAGGATGAACCTCTGTGCGCAAGGGGACGCTGCTCCAAAACTAATTCTGAAACCCAGTAACTAACAGCATATACTTTGCTGGTAGGAAGAAATGACCACTATCAGCTGAAACATTAAAGTCATCCCTCTTTACTAACAAAAGAAATTCTATCAGTCACGGTACTCGGAAAAGAAATTAAGAAAATTTGTTACTTCTTTAAGTCAATTTAAATGAAACAAGCTTAGCACTTGGGAGGCAAAGACAGGCTGATCTCTGTAAGATGGAGTCCAGCCTGGTCTACATAGTGAGTTCCAGGTCAGCTGCGGCTACAGGGAGACACTATCTCAAAAAGACCAAAAATAAATAAATAAGTCAATTCCATCATTACAGAACAAAATAAAGTATCATATAACTACAAGGGCTAACCAATTGTGCAACTGGAACCACCAAAATAAACTACCACTATTAATTTTTGGAGTTTTTTTTTTTTTGTCTTTGAGACAGGGTCTCCCTGTAGCTCCAGCTAGCTTGGAACTCACTATATAGACCAAGTTGGCCTTGAATTCACAAAGATCTACCTGCCTCTGCTTCCCAAGTGCTGGGATTAAAAGCAAGCACCACCACACCTGGCTACCACTATTAACTTTAAAGTGGCTACACATAATGGTGCACAATGGAAATCCTAACACTTAGGAGACTGAGGCAGGAGGATTGTGAATTCCAGGCTAGTATGGCCTACAAAATAAGACCCTACCTTAAAAAAAAAAGGGGGAGGGGGGGGTAGGCTTCTCTATGAAGAAAAAAATCTCTAGGCAGTTATTTTGCTATTATATGACAGCAAAATCACTTATTTCTACACCACCAACACAGAACTCTTCCTATTTCTTTAGTACCATCTGCACATTCTTTTGTCTACTTCCAGGACAATCCAAATGCAAACATTTTCTCTATAGCACTAATCCTAGTTGTCAGTTTCCCTCTGTTTACACCACTGCTGCCCTCTCTCTACTCATGGCTTTAGCGAACGATTACACTGGTATTGCTAAATGAATTAAGAGCAAGAAAAGAAAAAATACTAAAATGAAAAGGTGTTGGAAGTCTGTCTTGATTTTACAAGCCTAGATCTTTAACAAGTCTATACTGCCAGTCAAATAAAAAAAGTTAGCATAGAAGGACCAATGATTAAACCTTAGATCTTGAAACAGCACAAATGAAAACACAGTAATATTCTTATTTATTTTTATTTTCAATTATGTGTGTTTTGTGTGGATGTGTGCTGTGAATGTGCAGGTGCCCTTGGAGGCCAGAAGGCGGTGTTAGAACCTCTGGAGATGTGATAGTTGTGAGCTGCCCAACATGGGTGCTGGGAATCAAACTCAGGTCTCTGGAAGAGCAGGAAGAGCTCTTAACCAATGTGCCTTCTCTCCAGCCCCTCTTTTTTTGTTACCAATACAAGGTCTCACTATGCTGTCCAAATGGGCCAGATCTCTGAGGCTTAGCCACTCAAGCCGCTGAGAGCACAAGCATGATCCACTGCACTCAGCTGCCATTTTTCTTATTTAGTACACGAGCAAAGGCAATCCTTCCACTTGATCAGGCAATAATTTATTAAAATCAAGAGCAAATGATCAGGGGCTGGAGAGATGGCTCAGCAGTTAAGAACACTTGCAGAAGACCCGGGTTCAAATCCCAGCACCCACATGGCAGCTAACAACTGTCTGTAACTCTAGTTCCAGGGGATCTGACAGCCTCTTTTGTCTTCCGCAGGCATTGCATGACACGGGTGCACTTACTTACGTGCAGACAATACTCATACGCAAAAAAAAAGAGCAAATGATCAGTCTATATATATGAACTTGTACTGACCTGAGGTAAACATACATGCATGCACACACTTGCAAATAATGAAACTGTTTTTAGTTTACTTTTTCTACATAAGAGTTTGAACTTGACACTGCATAATGTAATTTAAATTGAATTGTTATGCTGTTGGCATAGCCCAGTGGTAAGGATCTTGCTTAGCATATGCTAGACCCAAAGTCTGATTGACTGCACCACAAGTAAACAAAATAAAAATGAATTACATTGTTAGTTAAAACTTTTATAGGAAATCGAGTTCTATTATATAAAAATAACAAACAAAAATGCAAAACTAAAAGGTACCTGCTGTTGCTTGAAATCAGGTCTTTTTTTGATAAGATTATAAACAGTCACATATTTCATGTATAGTACGTAGGCCCTTTCCTCATCACGATCTAATCTGCATTCTTCTGCTGCCTTGAAGATCTTCAGAGCACTGTGTACGTAACTTAAAATAAGGGAAAAATAAAATAAAATACTTGCCATGTGTGGGGGATACAGATCATAAATAAAATCTACAGATGATCTTGATAAAGTAAGTTTTATAATTTAGGTTGTCTTATTTTACACAATTACAATTCATACCATCTTATCTGTAATTAGGTTAGTCATAGGAAAAACAAGACACTACTAGAAAGAAGTAACCCATTTTAGGTCTACCCTTTAAAACTCTCCTGTCCTTAGTATCTGAGAAAGCTTAAAAGTGGATTATTTGAAAATAAAACAACAGTTGAACAGACCTACTTTCACTTAGTCTAAGAAGCCAATGTTTCCCTATTTTTCCCCTGAAAGGCCTTAAAAAGCTATTTTTCATAGGTAATATTTAGAAACAAGAGTTTACTCTGAGATTTTTCCCTTCCGACCTTTAAAGTTTTAACCAACTTTCAGCAATGTTGTTTTCCTCCCATTTTCCACTTATCTCCTATTTATTTATTTATTTATTTATTTATCTATTTATTTATTTATTTGGTTGGTTGGTTGGTTTTGGTTTTTTTGAGACAGGGTCTCCCTGTAGCACCAGCTGGCCTGGAACTCACTGTGTAGACCAGGCTGGTCTTGAACTCACAGAGATCTGCCAATAATTTTTCGACTAAGATTGGGGCCTGCTGTCCATTTCCACAGTTCTGTGCTGGGTTTTTGTCTGCTTAAGTTTGAATGGGTCTTGTGCATGCTGACACCATTGCTGTAGGTTCATCTGAGAAGGGTCCCAGAAGCCTGTAGTCATGCACCTCCTCCCTGGCTCTTTGATTCTTTCTGCCCCCTCTTCCACAGTGGTACCTGAGCCCTAGGTGGGTGGATTTTAATATAGGAGTCCTGTCCAAGGACCCACACTCTGTAGACTTTTTTAACTTTTCTTTTTTTTTTTTGGTCTTTTTTGAAACAGGGTCTCCCTATAGCCTCAACTGGCCTGGAACTCACTATGTAGACCATGCTGGCCTTGAACTCACAGAGATCCACCTGCCTCTGCCTCCCAAGTGCTGAGACTAAAGGTATGTACTACCACGCCCTGCTTGCAGACTCTTATTCACTACATTTTGGCCATTTGTGACCTTTTGTGTTCCTGGTCCTCTGTTGCATGAAGGAGTTACAGTGATAAGAATTGAAAGATGCATTAGTGTTCTTTTTATCCCTTGTTCTATGCTCTGTGAGCCTTAGGTATAGAAGTTGTATCCTAGATGTGCCACTTAGGTTTGGGCAATTCAGACAATCTCTGTGTGTGACTTAAGTTGTAGAATTCTGTAATAATCGCTGTTGCAAAAGAAAGTTCTTTGATGGGCAGTGACTGGGATATTTATCTGTAAATTTAAGGATCCATATTTTGCACACAGTAAGAAATTACATTTGTCCAGGGATGTGGCAGCCTTGGGGTTTTCTCTAAGATCTATGACTTCTCCAGCTGTGCACATTTGACTATGTTTACAGTATCACACATAAATTTCCTCCCATTGAGTGGGCTTTAAGTCCAATTAGGTAGCTAATGATTACCCCAAAACATAAAAGTGCCACTACTGCACCAACGCTGTTTGCTGTGCCAGTCATTGATGTGGTTGTTAGGCCTTGAAGCTGGGGTTGGACCATCGATCAATGTTTTCCCTTAGCAGCTTATAGTGTTCTCCAAAGCTATGAGAACTACAAAATTTAGCAATTTTAACAACCTCTTATTAGCAAAATTATATTTTCAGCAAGTATCAGATTCTGCAGCCTTGTTGGAAAGCTGTTATCTCTATGTTTGCCTTAGTCAGTAAATACACTGTTCATCAAAAATAAAAATTCATACAGCAAATTAAGTTAAAAGCTGATGTCAAATTGATACAAAATAAAGCTTCACAGAATACTAGACAAAAAAGCACCCACAGCAAGTCTTTTAATCAAAGACTTACATGTGTACTATACGAGAATAAAGTTGATCTTTAATTAAAAGTTATTTATATATTGTTTTATGAATAAGAAATGGCTAAGGCTGAATGATTCTGACTGAGCCTTTGTGTTCTCTGTCTTTTAAATGTATCATAGAGTAAACATGGGGGTCGGGAGAGAATTTGCATTGAGCAAACATATATTTATCCTGCCAAAATTAAGAACTTCTATAGAAGATCTTATTCATGTGATGGCATCTTTCTTCAAATAAACTTTAGCTAGTCGTTAAATTTGAATAATAAGGAAATGACATAAAATTAATAATTTAATCAAACTAGGAAAGAATACATACTTCTTAGTGCTTATTTTCTCTGGTTTCACTTCTGTCTTCTTATTGAGGTCTTTTAGTGAAGAACTGAGGTAGAGCTCTTTAGGAACTGAAGCCACAGCAGGCATGGTCAAGGTTTATGTTTCTATTTTTACAATGGATGGTATCCTTCATGAAAAGTAGTCCTTTTCTGAAACAAAACAAATCCATTAATTACTCTCATTAGCAAAAATAAGTAAGCTGTTAAAAAAAAAATTGAAACACTAAGACTAGGGATGTAGTTCAGTAGTAAAGTGACTGCCTCTCATGCACAGGCTGTGGACTGGATTCTCAACCTGGCAAAATAGATCTCCCCGACCCACACAAAACAAACAAAAATATTCCTATACTGTCAAGTGTGGTGATTTATATCTGTTTAAGGCTAGCAAATCAGGAGGCTGAGGAAGGAGGATTATGAATTCAAGACCAATCTGGGCTACATAGTACTCAAAAAAACAAACCCAAGCACATGTGCTCATGCACACCCCCAACATCCCCAAACACCCATAATTTAATTGTATCCTTTGCTCCATATATGGCCTCGTCTACAACTTAACTTTTATAAATTTACACCATAAGAAGAAAATAAAGTATTTCTAACTGCCAGGCATGGTGACCTACATCTTTAATCCTAGCACTGGGAGACAGAGAGAGGCAGGTGGCTGGATCTGTGAGATGGATGTCAGCCTGGTCTACATAGTAAGTTGCAGGCTAGCTGGGGCTATAGGGAGATCCCGTCTCAAAAAAAAAACAAAACAAAAACAAAGCAAAAAGAAAAAAAGTAACAATGTACTTAGCACATATTTAATAAAAAGCTTTAAAGAAAGAAATTCAATGAGCATAACAATGCATTCACCAGGAAAAGTGCAATCAATGTATTGTAACTTACAGAAGGGAAGTTTATAGAAAGGAAGGTGGGGGAGATGAAGGAAAGGTGAGAGAGGGGAGACAGGAGGAAGAGGGAAGAGAGTTTCACACCAGGAGACAGTCTACGTGCCAGAAATTACAAAGTAGAAATCCATTAGATATTATTCAAAGTTACCTTAGGTCCAAGTCTGGATGGGGGTGGGGGCTGCGGGGCTGGGAGGGCTGGGCTTGCTTGCAGCTGTAAAAGGGAAGGAGGAGACTCAACTTTGTGAGAGTTGTAAGGTCAAGTCAGCTCTCTCTAACTGACCTTGAAAGCAGAGAGGGAGCAGAACAGACTAGGGGAGAGAACTGATTCTCCTTTAGAACAGAGAAGTAGGGAGAAGGGGGGAAGGGGGGGAGGGAGAGAGGGATTTGATCTGAACTGAAATACAGCATCCTGGAAGGAAGAGGGAAGCTTTTAAAACTTAGGAAGTAAACAAATCTTACAAGGCTCAGGAAATGACAAAATTTACCAGGCTGAAGAAGCTCCTAAAACTCCCAAGACTGACAAGGCCATTCTCTAGGGTTATATAAGCAGTTAACATTGCTCAGATGAGAACTCTCCCAAGTGGTGTGCTGTGCAGGGAGCTCCAGAGATGTAGCTTTTCTGAGTCATCCTCCAAGTTGGGGTGGGCTTTCTGAAGATGCGTCAGCCTTAGTTATCCATGTTCCTGTAGGTAACCCATGACCCTAGTCCTGTAACTAGCCCCAATAAACTGATTGTTCACTATACTAGCCTTGGGTAGAATCATTTCTTTGGTCTGTCATCAATGCTTAACTGGGGCAAATAGATATTTGTTCCTGTCTCCCTATAAAAAGTCACACAATAAGCAAACAAAAGGTAGATGGGCAAGGTGGCCTGCCTGTAATCCCAGTGCTCAGAACGCAGATCCCTGGGGCAAGTTAGTGTTTTATAACAGACCCTTAATTTTGGTATATGTGCTGCTACAGCAAGCATCACAAACTATCTGCTCATCTCTCTCCCCGAGAAATAATGTCTCAACCCCAATCTGTCCCTAGAAAGAACTGATAATCCCTGCTGTAAAGGTTAGGGCACCCAGATTTTGGGGAGGCATGGGGAGTCCAGCCCCTGCCCTCACAACTGAAAAAAAATTTATGGTCCTACCCAGTACCTGGCCAGACTAAATCTCATGGTGTCAACTTTCCACCACCCCTGAAAAACCATAAGAGTCTGAAATCCTGGGCTAGATGTGGTAGCATATGCCTTTAATCCTCTTTGTTGGGGGATCTGAAGGTTCCCTTCTGAACCTGTCTCTTCTAATGTAGTTCTTCTCTGAGCTTTGAAGGGAAGCCTCTTTCTCTCTTCAAAGCCTCATGGTGCTGCCTCAGGTATGATGAGGTTCCCCCTCCCTCTAGAGGTGGTCAGGAGACTCTCCTAACAAAGCTCATTCTGGTGGGTAATTCTGTGTCAGCTCCTTTTTGACCTGCTGTTCTGTTTTGTTCTAACAGTTAGACAAGCAGAACTCTTGGCTCTGGGTGCAGGGAGAGACCCTGCCTCAATATATAGAGTGCAATCAAGTAAGATTCATGACATCAACCTCTGGTCTCCACACACATGTGTATCCATACACATTTAGGCGCACTCACAAAAAAAAAATAAAATAAAATAAAAATCTGGAGCTGGGTGTGGTGGCTCACACCTATAATCCTAGCTAGAACTCAGGAGGTTGAAGCAGGAGGAAGGCCCTGAATTTGGGTATCCTAAGCTTCAGAGACTTGATTTTTTTTTTTTTTTTTTTTTGGTCTTTTTGAGACAGGGTCACCCTGTAGCCTCAGCTGGCCTAGAGCTCACTATGCAGACCAGGTTGGCCTTGAACTCAGAGATCCACCTGCCTCTGCCTCCCGAGTGCTGGGATTAAAGGCATGCACCACCATGATTGGTTCAGGGACTTAATCTCAAAAAAGTATAAAAATTTGGAATATCAGAGTCTTGGAACATCTTGATAAATCCTTAGGAGATTTTGTGGTATGAATGGAAGCCAGAGTATAAGCATTAAAAAAAAATTTTAAATGGGAATAAATAGCAAAAATCATAGTGCCAGGCATGGGAAACCTCCTTTTGAGTTGTTGATCAGGATAGGCCAAGAGACTCCCAACATAGTACAGGCTATTGCCACAGCCCTTGATGGCCTCCCAGAACTCCTTCCTGAAGACTAGCTTTGGTAGTATCAGAAGGTACTATGCAAACTGCCAAGGGAGAAAATCAATGATACTAACCAGCTGTAAAGTCTATGAACCATAACAATGACCAGCCTAGCAAATTGTTTCTCTATTGGTGTACTAGTGGCACTTTTATCTTGGGGGTCATCAACAGCTGTCTAAGTGGACTTAAGGCCTGCTCAATGGGAAGAAAATCATGCATGGTACTGAAACATAGCTAAGTACACATGGCTGGAGAGGTCATTGACCCTAGAGAAGAAACTGCTTCTGTCACTTCCCTAGACCAATGAAATTTCTTACTGTATTCTAAATATGTATCCCAGTATTTACAGACAAGTGTACCCCTTACCACTCATCAAAGAAGATTATTTTTGCAACAGATACAATTACAAGATTCCACAACTGGTTAAATGCAGAACAAGTGACTGTGAAGTGCTTAGCCCTAAGTGACCCAATGCAACCTCTACACTTAAGTCTCAGAAAACATCTTAGAAGAAGGGACAGAAAGAATGTAAGAGCCAGAGGAACAAGACACCTGCTTCTAGTTAACCCATTCTAGACATGGTAGGGAAGCTGCACCAATGAAAGCTCCACAGCACGGTGTCTAACGAGATCTGCATAATGTCAAAACCAGTTGACATGCAAGGTGGATGGAGGAAATGTCATAGGGTCCACCTCAAGATGAAGAGCTACAGGCAATAAATGGTGGCTGAGGAAGGGGGCCAATGGGGAAGGGGACATAAAAATCATTAATCTAGCCAGGTGTGATGGTGCATGCCTTTAATCCCAGCACTCAGGAGGCAGAGGCAGGCAGATTCTCTGTGAGTTCAAGGCCAGCCTGGTCTACAGAGTAAGTTCTAGGCCAGCTGGGACTACAGGGAGACCCTGCTTCAAAAAGACAGAAAAAAAAAAAAAAAGAATATGCAAACCGAGATGCATAGGCAATTTAAAAAAGACAATCACTAGCTATTTAAAAAATAAATTTAAGCCAGGCGTGGGGGCGCACGCCTGTAGTCCCAGCACTCGGGAGGCAGAGGCAGGTGGTTCTCTGTGAGTTCAAGGCCAGCCTGGTCTAAAAAGTGTGTTCCCGGACAGGTGGGGGTAAAGGGAGACCCTGCTTAAAAAAAACAAAAAAAAAAAAAAAAAAAAATTCAGTCATATATACCCAGCTGTATAAAAGCACTGTGCACTTACATGCATGCAGGCAAAATGCATATGTACACATGTTTTTTAATTATATAAAAAGAGATGAGCCAGGTGTACAAGGCTTTAATACCAGCAACCAAGAGGAGGCAGACAGATTTCTGTGAGTTTGAGGCCAGCCTGATGTACATATGACGTCCAGGGCAGCTGGGGCCATAGGAAGATCCTGCCAAAACAAAACAAAACAAAAAACAAGCAAGCAAACAAAAAGACTGAAGACAGGAGAAAATACTAGTTCTCTATTGAAACAACTGTGGAGAAAGATGACGCAGGTCAAGATGATGACTAGAGCAGCAAAAAGGGAATGGAAGGTGCAGATACAAGAAACACTGCAAAGGTAGGGTGACAGGAGTTGGCAAATGAATAGAAACTGAAAACAAAGTACAAGGACAACATCATGTCACCAAAATTCTTAGCAAGGGCTTTTAGAACAAAGGGGACTACATACATACATACGTACATACATACATACACACACATACACACATTTGCATACATATATTTCTGAGACAGGGTCTTGTTAGGAAGCCCTGGCTGGCCTCGAACTTGCAATATTCTTGACTCAGCCTTCCACCCATCAAGATTATTCTTTTTAAAAGCTGCCTTTTCTGTATTTACTTGATTTCTAAAAATAGCTCAAGTAATAATTTTCTCTGATAAAGTCTATCAAAACATCAACTACATTTAGTTTTAACTATACTATACATAATACTGTTGAATAAAGATGTTAGTGTTAAAAATACTTCCAGCTGGGCCAGTGAGATGGCTCAGTGGGTAGGGACACTTGCTACCAAGCCTGGCAACCTAAGGTCGATCCCTGGGACCCACATAGTAGCAAGAGTGGGCCAGCTCCCACAAGTTGTCCTCTGAGCTCCACATGTGTGCTTGGCACACACCCACATACATACATACATGCATAAAATAAATAAATGTAAAAATAAAAAAATTTCAGCATTGTTTGATGACGATTTATTTCAGCTTCTACTATCATACAAATTTCTGTAGAGGTTATTATTTTTCCCTAATCAAATCAGAAAGTAAAAATATATACCCAACTTAAATGTGAAGTCAGTATGTGTTGTTTTGATAAGTGATTCTGCATTTTGCCATTAAAGCCAAAACTTCAACAAAAACTGACAGAAAGTAAATTAAGGCCAGAATGACTAAATGAATCCATAACTTCTGTATTTTTATTGCAATAGTTAAAAACATAAGAAAAAGCAACAGCAAGAAGCCCACTGAGATATTTATATATGTGAATATATATTCAACAATTATGTACATCAATTTATGGACTCTATTTGTTCAGATGTAGAACCAAATATAGCATATAACCTAGTAAAACTAAATAATGTGTCAAAACAGAAATTAAATTAAATGTAAATTAAACCAAACAAACAAAGCATCCAGAGGTGGTGCTTGCCAAAGGTGAGGAAGGATTACTAAGAACTCAAGTCAGCCTGAGCTACAGGAACGTGGGGCTGCAGAGACGGTTAAGAGCACCTGCTGTTGTTGCAGAGGACCCAGGGGTTTAGTTCCCAACACCAGTATCAGGTGGCTCATAACCACCTGTAACTCCAGTTCTAGGGGATCTGATGCCCTCTGGTACCCTCAGCCACCAAACGCTCATATGTGTGTGTGTGCGCGCGCACGCGCGCACACACACACACAAATAAACAAATCTTAAACAACATGAATATCTCATATTACATTACAGCAGTGCTACTCCAAGTGTATTCCAAAGACTAACACTGGTTGTTGAACTACCTGTTGCTAGTCTATAATAGAAGCTTCCTACAGAATGTAAATCAACTA